TTGGTTTAGATTTAAAACATACGAAAATTGAAATGTAGTGTTTTTTTTTCATGACCACCAAAACACATATATACATAAACCTCACATCCAAACCCATACACTAACCACAACCACACACTAATTATATGTATATATAGTTTAAACCAATTTTATAAAAATCCCGACTAGGTTTCCATTAATTTTCGATTAATCCTTAGGTGGTATCCAAGCGATTAATCCATGCCTACAAAATGAGTGAAACAATAGCAAATAATGAAGTTTTAATACTTTGAAAAGTTCTATCTCAGTAATATTTGAGTAATGATTAGTCTTCTAGTAATCATATTAACTTATTTTGTTATGATATTAGTGATATTTATAATTTTTTTTTATGATATTTAAGATATTTAATGTTTTAAAATTCAACGAATTAACAATTTATGGTCCCCACTTAATCCACCAATTAATCCCCGCCTAACCAATTAACTTCTTAATCTCGCTCCACTGATTAGTTAACGTCGAACGTTTTTTACAACATTGGTTAAAACATTTAAAAGAATCTGCCAACTTATTGTTTTTTGGTACTACACAAATTAATACAAACACCTTTAAAATAAACATTATTACAAAAAAATATTAACTATTTTAAATAATTCAAAACACCCCTAAAATTAAACAACATATTTGGTTATGCAAGTACATTTTGTTTTTTTTTTTTCTCATATCACTAATTTGATGCTCTTCCTTAGTCCTTACTTTTATCCTTTTAGCATTTTCCATTTTTAGGACGTGTTTTGTTCATGAATTTTGAATATATTTTAAGGAATTGAAATGTAAATTTCAATTTAATTGCATTTGTCAGACAAAATAATAAAAATTAAAAAAAAAATCCATATGTTCGAAGTAGTTAGAGTCCATTAATTATGTTTGTTATAATAGCAAAAATCATTCTCATCTCCGTTTTATTTTAGTCATGATTCATTAAATCAAAACATATTATGGTCATTTCTCCGACATGTCACCCATCCATCCACCTACCGACCCTACCCTCACAACTCCACACTCACACGTATACATCCGTCTCACCTTATTCTAATACATATAAAACTTTCTCATCCCCACTCCATCCTAACACCCACACACCCTTGGCATATCCCATTTACCCACTCCACACCCACACCCGCACACTAACCACACCCCAAACCCAAACATCACCCCACCTCCAAACCCACACTGTGACATCCCCATTTTCATGGCCAGAAAATACCGATTTTATTTATGCTTTATAAAAATCAGAGTACTTCTTTTCATAAAAATGTTGCGGAATTTGTTCCCAGAAAAATACGATAAATACGTTATCAAAATATTTTCAAAGAAACGTATTTTATTCATTTTAAAACGTTTGGGATGTCATCGTCAATACAGAAACATAAGCATAAACAGAACTTACATTTATTTACACTAGTGATCTACATCTCTTTAATCTCTCAGTGTAATGTGACTTCATATCAACACATGTGATATAAATAAACTGAGTGGGTCAGGTTGGGAAACCTGGTGAGTACATAGGGTTTTCAACCCACAATAATATAATTATTATGTTTAAACAATCAAACAATCAACCCAATTACCAAATCCCATTATCTTCTTTAATCTTAAGGATCTACCCTAAGAATCAGTTATTCCTCGTTCATTCATTCCTAAGGATCATCCTAAGGAATCGGCACAAAGTCCATCGTTGCCACGGTTTACACAACGGGCACTAAGTCTGCATAGTCGTCATGGTTTAGGCATCAAGTCTGCATGATCACCAAGGTTTAGACATCAAGTCGGCATGATCACCAGGGTTTAGGCATCAACTTTGCATGATCACCAGGGTTTAGGCATCAAGTTTTGTATGATCACCAGGGTTTAGAGTACACCGGGTGAACACATCGTTCACAACACCTACAAGTTGCGAGCCTGCTAGTGTTTCACTGGACTATCTAGAATAGTCTGTGGTTGTCATCCATACTCTGCTGAATGACGGGGCCATCATTTGGGAAAAAAGGCTTCTCACATCGTCCACCTCTCACCCTCACCTCGTGGTCTATAACACCTCTCAACTCATCATTCAACTCATATTCTATCTATAATATCTACCCATGTTTACCCCAACATTATCGTAGATATAAAATACATATACAGTTTAAATCATTTAAAACATGTATAAAATCGTTCATTTAGCATAGACAACAAGTACTCAGATAATATGCACACATAGCACGTAATTTATATAAAATACTCCATATCTATGTGTAAGATGAAAGTAACTATGCACTTACTTGAAAAAGTGGTGATTTCGAACTCAGACAACGCTTCACTTCTTGAAAAAAAAAATTCCTTCGACGAAACATAATATTACTACCACTAGAGTTTAGTCTATTATTCACCGAGACTAATTAATAGTTGAGCTATTATTACTATTATATACCCGTTAAATAATACTTATATAAACCATAATAATAGCCCAATTGCATATTATATGTTCTTAATAACGTTAATATAATTAAATAAAAGCTATATTAAAAATAGCGTAGGTGTAGCTCACTTACAGCGGGTTTTATAGAAAACCAGGCTTTGCTTGGAGCAGCATTCCCGTGCAGAAAAGCTCTTCTTCTCGGAGTCGTCGAGCACTCAGGGGCTTCCGCCTCGTGCTAGGGAGGTTCCCTAGGCTTTTCAGGGGGTTTTGGGGCTAGAGAGAGGTTCTAGAGAGAGAGAGAGTAAAGAGAAGAAAGAATGAGAAATGTGTGAAGAAAATGAGGGTGGGAGAGGTTCTATTTATAGGGTGAAAATGGCTGAACTTGGTGCCACATGTCACCATCTAGTGGCAAGACTTAGGGAGAAAGCAATGGCCAAGATTGTGTCACATCACCCATTTTCGCACAACACACTTCCGACTTCTAAAATCCGTAACTTTCACATACGACCTCCGTTTTTGACGTTCATTAAATCCACGCGTAGGTAAAAATAATATCTACAACTTTCATTTTGACTCCGTCGGCTAATTCTCGACCGATCTTAAATTTAACAGTGCGAGGCGTTTAGACTGTTAAATGACCGCGAAGAATTTGTAACTCCTTCATACGGACTCTATTTTCGTCTGTCTTTTTACTGTTAAGGTCCTATTAATGAGATCTTCAACTCTCATTTAAGTCACGTAAGCCAAAAACCGCTCGAACTAAAATTCGAGTTTCAGGCCGTGCACTGCCAAGTTGAATCTTAGAAAAATCATAACTTCTTCATACGAAATCAGATTTGGGCGTTCTTTTTATGGATTTTCTCGGTTTAACATATTCTACGACTTTCGTTTAGATCACTAAGGCTAAAAAGTCCTCCATCGTAAAATCACTATTTACGCTTCCCGGTGTCGTGCTGGTTCCGTCGCGAAACTTCGACGGGTCATAACTTCTTCGTTATAACTCGGATTTCGACGCTCTTTATATGTACGGAAACCTTGTGACATATTCTACAACTTGGTTAAGATTATTTATTCTAAATAATCTTTTGTCGAAAAGTCATTTTCGACCCCTATTACCTCTAAATTAACTAGCCCGGATAGGGATGAGCAAAAGGACCGAACCGGACCGGAACCGGCTTTGGCCAAAATCAAGAACCGAACCGGCCCGGCGATTCTATCGGTCCGGTTCTACCGATTCCCGGTTCCTACCGGTTCTTGTCGTGTCTTCAAATGTTGGAACCGATCCTTGAAAAATAGCATCATACGGTTCCGGTTTTTGTCGGTTCTACCAGTTCCGGTTATATCGGTTCCGGTTCCTACCGGTTCCCGGTTCCAAAAATATACAAAAATAACGTCCCGGTCCCGGATCGACCGGTTCCATCGGGCTCCGGTTCCGGTGCCAGTTCCGGTACCGGTTTCGGTGCCGGTTCCGGTTCCGGTACCGGTTCCGGCCGGTTCCCCGGTCCATTTGCTCATCCCTAAGTCCGGATCTACGGGCGTTACACACACCAACACCTATATGCACACTCATACATACGTTCACGCCCATATTAGACCTCGATGTCTGCTCCATCCTATCCCTACACCCACACACATACACCTATCTATCGTTCACCTACCCATCACCTATATATCTCACCCTTAATCCCTACACCCATGCCCGTATAAACACCATTGCCCCAATCCACCCACCCTACCTTTATACCCACCCTACCCTCATACTAGCTAGCACTTTCCCACACATCCCCTTCAACCACCCACCCATGCATCCTTCCCACTCCACATCCATACCCACATGTACATTTACACACCTAAGCACGCTCACACACCCAAGTCAACAAGCCCACACCAATGATGCCGACACCCACACACACTCGTCACATCGACGTAAATAAATGCATATAGGTTTGAGTGGGTAAGAGTTTAATATATAAAAGTTTTATCTTTTTTTTAAATATTAAAAAGTTACAAAAAAATCAATAAAATAGTATTTTTGTAGTATTATATAATTACTTTTCAATCTTTGACAAATATACAAACTAGACATAAAAATGTCAATAGAACACATAACAAAATTTAATTCTTTCATATTCAAATTCATTTATATCAATTCCTTTGTCATATTTCATTCTTTCCAAAAATATTATACAGAACAAACACTCCTAAATAATGAAAATCTTAAAAATTATACTTTAATCATCTTGATTAATGGGTACACTAATACATTATAAACCCTTTATAATAATTTCACACTTTATTTATAAAACACTACTCATTTTGTACCTTTTGACTTATATAACAGGAAATCTTGAAAGAGGTCAAAGAAGGAAATAGATTAGCTATAAATAATCACCAAACAAAAAATCCATGCAATCAAATCTTCATTTCTCAAGATTCATCAAGAAACGCATCCCGCCATTGGAGAGGATCAAAGAATTCCAAAGAAGTCTAGAGTAATTTTGAACCGAATCTTAGTTCATCTGTGTGCACATCTAGTGCGACCGTTGTAGAACCCGTCGCCATGAGCCACCATCCACCACCGCGGCCGCTGCCACCACGCCTAATTCTCCACCGGACTACCCCTGAAATCCTAAAGCAAACCACCACCTCCATGTTCTCCACCGGCCAAAACCTCCTTATCTTTCTCGTTCTTTTCTTCTGTTTATTTTCTCTACGCGTTAACGTCGAAACAACTACTCATTTCCTCACTTCATTAATTGATAACAACCCTTCCATAAAATCCTTCATCAATCGAGAAAACGTCCCTCCCAATCCTAACTCCCCTACCTCCACCATCACCACCACCAGCTGCCGCCGCCACTTCCTCCAGCTCAGCCGTGTCGGATCGCGGATTCTAGTTAGTGATTTCTCCTCAGGTGACGACGAGTCCGATCACAAAGTAAACGCCACCTCATTCATACTTTACTCCTTCGATCTACAACTGGAGAGCTCCAATTTCGTATTCGGTAACGGAATTAGAGTGTCTGGAATTGTCCGTTCTACTGCTAAGATGACTTTCAGATCAATCAAGATCACACAGAAAGAAGAAAACGTAGGCATTGATAAAGTCAATGATTCTGCACCTTTTAACGAAACCCACTTTCAGTCTTTCTTGAAGAGGTTCCACCTCGAACACCATCAATTTACTGCAATAATGATTCTCATTCTTGCTTTTGCTGCTTCATACTGGTTTATGGTTCATGTATTCGTTGGTACTTATACAAAGATTCATGGGATTATATTCGTATTGGTTCTTAATGATTTCTGTAACAGACGCAAGTCTTTCTATGTGACTTTCTCTAGTGGTTCGTTTTTGGGTGTGGAAAGATTGTCTCGCAGCTTCATTGCAAGGAGATGGGTATTCAGGGACGTTTTCATTCAACTCATGTACTTCTGGTTCTTAGGAGGAATAGACAATCCATATTCCCAATTAAAGATCTTTATTAGGTCAACGTTCATGCCATTTTCAATCATGTCCCCTTGGGATAAAGGTTTTGAGAAGGAGATTTTTGGCTTCATGGCATCCTGTTTCTTAATGGACATGCTCATTTGTTTTGTATTTGATATGGGTGCTTGGATAGTTATGGCGGATTCAAGAAAGAATGTGAAACAAGTTGTGAAGGAAGGTTGCTATATGGTGTCATTAATGATTGGACCCGCCATTGAACTCAAGTGTTATGAATGTATAGTTTGTGTACTTACACGATCTTTTGGCCTATTGTTTGCTATAGCGATCCAGTCTTTCATGGAGGTTTACTTCATGGTTGCATGGCTGTTGTATTACTTGTCTGTGAAGTCCATTCATGCTAATTCTAGTGGTCAACCATTTGGTCAACGAGAGATTGAAGCCATGCTTAGAGATGTTAGAGTTTAGATGATACTTGATGTTAAGTCTTGCAAATATGAAGTGGTAGTCTTTAGTGTTTTGGTTAAATGTGTTTCAATAATTGTGACTAACATTTGTTGATGATATGAATCCAAAAGCTTTGTACAAAATGTGCGAATGGAATGTATATATATGTTTTCATGATTTTGTTATTAGGAATAGGAGACTATGTGGATATAATTTATTTGATGTAGAATCCCTTAAAAAATGGGGCATCATACTTTACACTAAGATTTGGGTGTGTGGTCTCAACACCCACCAACTCGGCATCATCGGCGGGAAAATGACTTAAAACCCCAACGAAGTTTTCAAACCATTCAAAAAATCTCAATCATGTTTTGTCTGTTCAAAAAAACCCAACGAACCTAACATTTTATCTAAAAAGTCCAACAAAGTTTCAAACCGTTCAGAAAATTCCAATTTTGTTTTGTTTAAGTTCGTTGGGTTTTTTTTTAACAGTCAAAATATGATTGGAGTTTTTTAAACGTTTTGGAAACTTCATTGGTCTAACAAATCATTTTCCGATACGGTAATAAGCCACGTCATCTGCTTTCCTTATTTGACTTTCGAAAAAGTGTAACTTAGTTGGGCTTTTTAGATAAAATGTTAAGTTTGTTGGGTTTTTTTGAACACACAAAACATGATTGGAGTTTTTTAAACGGTTTGGAAACTTCGTTGGACTTTTAAGTCATTTTCCCCATCATCGGCACACACCACATACCGCCTCTTGGCTTCAACATGTCAAGCAAATGCATCTTCCACATCAAGCGTTTGTCGAGCCTCTCTCCTCCCCTTTACTCCCATTCTCTCTTCCTTAACCCATCCATCCTAAATGACAAGTTAAACATGTAGTGTGGAAACATCAATATGATAGTGATGTAGCAGACAAAAAAATAAGGTGACGGTGCACCAATTGTGACACCACTCCTCCAGCCGAAAATGTGACACCTACTCATTGTCACCATAACACCATGCCATATCCACTTGCTCACCACAAACCTAGGAAACACCTACCATTTGATATCAACTATATCATTTTATTTTTTTAATTTTGAAATACAACATTTTGATATACCTCCAGCAGCCTAAATATATCAAGAGTGGGAAATAATACATCCCACTTGTAACTCTAACTCTCAGATTTTCATACTAGGTATACCTTAGAACTTAACATTTATTTACAACATATTATCAACAACATGCTTGTAATATATTTTGCAACATTAACTTAATAAAATAGATTTATGTCTCTTTTTCATCATATGAGATTTTAAACATATTTTATACCTCAAAAAATCTTACTCTGAAGCTATCATATAATCATCGAACATTTTATTAAATTGCTTTGGATATACTCTGTCCAAAGTAATTATATCATTCGATACGTCTATTTAATAACTACTCTTCCATACTGCCACACAATATTAATATTCACCACATCTAATGTGTATATAAAAGTTAATAATAGCATAATATAAATCTACTATTTTGCAACAACACACATCAATATCATCGAGTATTAGAGTAGAGTTACTCATCTAGCTAGCTAGTAGATTGACTCCAGCTTTAATCTCTAGCCATATTGCCTCTCAACTTGCCATATACCAATACCTGTATAATTATTAACAAGTTCTTAGTATATGTAACAACTTACTACGAGCTAAACTCTATGACCATTGGTCACCAAACTAATTAAACTCCATAATACAACTACCACCGACTTAACCTCATAAGTCGTTAGTTGAATCTTGCACATCTGGTAACTCCTGTAAATTAGGGCTTATAACCCTCGCTGTCCAGAAGATATTTATAACCATAATATTTATCTACCAATCTTTCTATCAACACTATATCATGAACTCCTATAACACATACTCGGGCCTAACAATTCTCTATGAAATATTACATAAACATAATCATGTAATAACAAGATAAAAATACCTCGACTCGTTTCATAGCTTAACCCTGATATCCTCGTCTACTAGTACAACTTATGCAGTTATAAGTCCTTAGAAATGCCTCTTGAACCTCTCTCCCGATCGTGTGTGCAAAAACTCTTCAAATGCCACAAAACACAAATATTTATACTACCTCAAAAGCGTGTCGCGACCCCTTCCTGACCGCACTGCATTTTGATTTTCCTTGAGAACCTGGCACGTAATATATGCAATCGGGGCAAGGTCATATGAAGTTAAAAGGTTACATCACGTAATATATGTTTGTATCATATTGCATAATATGATTCTTGAAGACGAATGAAGAACGATATGTCGGTACAACGAAAATGAAGTTTTGTTAAATGTTGAAGGAGTAATCATTGGTACACAAGAGTATAGGGCGAAAAGAAGAGAAGTACACAATCGCGACATTCATCACGCTCTTCGTGCTGATTTGGTGGAGCACATTTATATGGCTCATATTCAGCCCCCGATAGAGTTTTCTCACGATGATTTGTTTGACGAATCAGAAAAGGACGAGGATTCTGATATGTTCTTCGAGAGCGAATATTCCGATGACGAGAGTGACGTTTGGGAGAATGAGGAAGACGATGAGGTTGATGACGAGGACGATGATTCCGAGTGACGTATTTTGGTTTTTTTAAATTAGAATATTAATTATGTTTTCTATGTTGTGGGTTGTTTGGTTTTTTGTTTGCATTTTTTTATTTAATTTTCTACTTATTTAAATATTATTTTTAATGTAATTTTTATTTTAATTAATGAAATGCTTTTTATTTTTTATTAAAATTTATGTTTAGTATTAATTTAAAAATTATAAATCATAAAAAAAATTAATTTTATTTAAAAAGGTAAAAAATAAAAGAAAAATAATAAAGAAAGTGAAGGAAAGGATGGAATCACCCAAAAAAAAATTAGAAAGCTTCCCTCACGTACACATGTGAAAGGTCGGTAACTGATTTCTTATTCCCTCGCAACAAGGGAATCTTGAAA